TTTGGCCTCTTCCTATACTGATTCCATTTTTGTGTCTTTTGGTCTCTTGCCCTCTCACAATTTCTGTCGAACCAATCCTGTTTTCTGGTCCTGCATCTCTGTTTTGGTATGAATGTTTGTGTGCCTTCCTCGTATAGTTTTAAAAATTTGACATACATTTCATTTACTTCCCTGCCTACCAACAATTCTGTCCAATTACACTCATTAAAAAAATTTCGAAGTTCCCCATAGTTGCCTCTCTTTAAATCGAGTTTATCAACTGTTTCAATGTCCCCATTTTCTTCTAGATGATATCTTAAAGCATATTTAATGTCTAACAGGACGTGATCACTCTTTCCCAAGGGAGGAAGGTACTGGATGTAAAAAATCTCTTCTTCTTTCCTGGTGAATACTAGATCCAGTACTGACGGTACATCTCCTTCCCTCATTCTTGTGGCTTGCTTTATGTGTTGATACAAGAATGTCTCCAGAATGAGGTTCACAAATCTGCATGTCCAAAAGTCCTCCGTTCTTGCTTCATAGGCCTCCCAGTCTATTGCTCTAAAGTTGAAGTCCCCCAGTATCAACAGTCGTGATTTATCTTTATCTGCTTGTACAATATCTCTCATGACCATTATGAGGCCCTCTCGTTTGTCATCCAGTTCTTCCTTTGTCCACGTGTTGCTTGCTGGTGGGCTGTATGTATTTACAATTATCAGGTTATCATCCTGATTCCAGACCTGCAATGCCATTATGTCAATATCTCGAGGGTTTTCAAATATTAACTCTTTTACCTTCAGGTGTTTTTTCACCAGTACAGCCACTCCTCCTCCCTTCCTAGTTTTCCTGTCACGTCTCCAAACTGAGTAGCCTCTTGGGAATATGACTTCATTTATTATATTTCCTTCAAGTTTCGTTTCTGATAATGCAACAATATCTGGGACCCTAAGCTGGATTATATCTTGCAACTCCAAAGTTTTTGACCTCACTCCATCTATGTTGGTATATACAATTTTCAGGAACATGTTCCCTTTTCCTTTGCCCTTTACTCCCCCTTCCACTACTGATCTTGTTGCTTTGTTTTTATGTACCATTTCACAAGCTTTCCAGTCCCTGTCACTTTGTAAAAAAAAGAATTTCTGTCTTCTTCATTTCTATCCCCATTTAGACGTTTTGTCTCAATTAAGTTCATTTTCAGCTTTTCTCTGTCTTCCTTGGAGAGGTCTTGTCTTATTGACCAAAATTTGCCAACCTCATCACTCTGCAGTTTCCTGGCATTTCTTAGCACTTCCATCATGTTTTTCACACCATTAACATGTGTGTGTTACATTATATATACATGTAACATTAACACATGTGTGTGTGTGTGTGTGTGTGTGTGTGTATGTATGTAAAATTACCTAAGTGCCTAAGTGTAGTTACAGGATGAGAGCTATGCTTGTGGTGTCCCGTCTTCCCAGCACTCTTTGTCGTATAACACTTTGAAACTACTAACGTTTTGTCCTCCACCACCACCTCACCTAAGTTGTTCCAACCGTCTACCACTCTGTTTACAAAAGTGAATTTTCTTATATTTCTCCAGGAACTTTGTTTCATTAGTTTAAATATATGACCTCGTGTTCTTGAAGTTCCAGGTCTCAGGAATTCTTCCCTATCAATTTTATCAATTCCTATTATTATTTTGAACCAAGTGATCATATTGCCTCTTTTTCTTCTATCTTCTAGTTTTTGCATATTTAATGCCTCTAATCTCTCCTCATAGTTCTTATCATTCAGTTCTGGGAGCCACTTCGTGACATGTCTTTGCACCTTTTCCAGTTTGTTGACGTGCTCTTAAGATATGGGCACCATACAACCGCTGCATATTCCAGCTTTGGTCTAACAAAAGTCGTGAACAATTTCTTTAGAGGTCATTTCGACCACGCCCAAGTGCACCAACTTCAAGATGACCTGATGGAGCGAAGGGGAAGAAGCCTGCCCCGTCAGCCCTGAACCCCCCTGAAGGAGGAGGAGCCACCCAGCGCCACCACAAGCCGGAAGACACGACCCGAAACGCCCACAAATTGTGGGACCATGCGTGGTCATACAGCACTAGCCTTCCCCCCCAATGGCCATCACCGTGGGCAACCCACGAAATGGCCGACGCCTTTTACGAGAAACCAGCCGACAAGCAAAGTGAGCATTGCGCCGACCAGACAACGTCGGCTCAGAAACTGGCACCAAGGGCCCACCTCGACCAGAAGAACCCTGAGCCCTGGTACGACCCTTCTGAGAGGCCCGAGAATGGCAACCCCAGAGAACCAACAATTCTGAAAGAGGATGGCAACTAGACGAGGCCACCTGCAGAAACTGTGTCACAGCACTGTCCGTAAACAACAACGGACGAAAAGGCGAAGAAAACCTAAGAGCCAGGGCCCAAGCGGATTCCAAGGAGAGAGTAAGGATGGCCTGGCGACACGCAAGGCGAGAGGCAAGAAACAGAGACACAGTCTTCCAGAGTATTGGCACAAACAGCTTCAACAGACAACACCCTGGCCGCCGAGGGTGGCCAAGGTGTCCAGCGCCCCAGACAAAGGCCCGGCACTCAACGCCTCCACATCCCCCCCTAGCCAGTCCAAGGACAACTCGAGAAGGGAAAAGAAGTGTAAGACAAAGGCCAAATACCAGCGGGCGTGAAAATTCTCAGCAGCCAAAGCAGCCGAAAGGGTGGGAACCTACGAGTGCAGCTGCTGAAGGCCAACAACTGGAGGAAGCACAGGGGTGAAAAGACACGCATTGAGGCACTCAAAATCTCTCCCAGGTAAACGTGCAGAACTCCAGCCATTAAAGCGTGCGGGTCCGACATAACCCGTGCCACGCTCCCTGAGAGGAAAGGGCAGGCTGCCGGCCAGGAAGACTCCGGAACCTTATAAAGCACCCAATACGGGAAAGAAGAGCCGAACTCAAATGAGGTCGGATCCATCACAGAGACATAATCTGGGTCTTGCAGGAGGTAAGCTGCAAGAGCCTTCCGAACCTCCTTAGGCAGGATGCAAGAGGCAGAAAACCTCCAGAAAGAGGGCACCGAGGAACCCAAGGGAACACAGAACCAAACCTGTGGAGGAGCCGACCCCCAACTCATACTTGTACAGGGAAGGGGGGGATAAGAAAACCCTTCCCCTGCAACAACAAACCCTGTGACGAGGGCACCAAAACCCAAGCGGGATCAAAGGGGGGTCCAAGCTCCCCTAGGGCAACTCCTCCCCAGCCCCGGGAGCAGAGCCATCCTCCATGCCCTCCACTCCCAAAGAAAAGGCCGAGTCCAGGAAAAAGGCCGCAAAGAAGGGGGGTCTGCTGGTAGGTCCCAGAAGCCTCAGCAGGAGGAGCAGGCTTGAATGCCTCTGTCTGAGACTCGAATGGGGCAGCCCCTGAAGCTGTCCAAGTCTCATCACAAACTAAACCCCGCCCCAACTCTGAGACTCTCAGATGTCTGGGAGCCAGCAGCAGGGCGAACCCCGCCCACCGGGTAAGAACCTGAGGGCATGAACTGAACCAAGGTTGAACTGACCAACACCCCTCAGGTTCAGGTCTCAAACCAAAACAGGCCAGCCCTGGGGCATCCGAACGGGCAACCAACATGGCGTATTGCAATAACCAAAACCTACAATGCAACGAGTACTCCGCCTGACCACTAAGAACTTCCGAAGAATAGGTAAATTGGAGCACGAGCGGGGAGCACGCCTCGCATGACTCTGGGTCGAAGGTGTCACCGACCCAACAGGCAACATGATGGAGGTAAAACAGGCGATTGTCACCCTGAGACAAGGGCAATGAACAACCCTTAAACTTGCACAAGGTTTGATGGGACTTTGATGACACATCCATTCGTCAGCCAAGCCCTGACGGGGTTTTCCAGGGCCCGCAGGAGGTTTTGTCTGTGGGAGTTTTTTTTGCAGTTTTTACAGTTGAGCTCAAAGGAACAACAACAACAAAGAGGGAACCGAGCTAAAAACTGAACCCTTGTGAAGTGTACAAGCACGGCAGCCTAGAGGAGGGCCACCAACAATATCCTAAGTAGACTAAATAGTCAAACCAGGCAGACCACCTCCAAGCAAGAAACAAAAAGAAAAGAAAAACCCCGCAAATACACAACGACAACAGGAGAAACAGTTAACATGGCCGCCGCTAGGTATGCATGCTGAGCAGCACCTTGCGCCCCAACCAGCAACAACACTTCCTACCCAGAGCCAAACAAAGACCACGATACCCCAGCTGGCCCCAAGGACAGGGTAAATGCCAAGCAGCAATAACCCAAACAGAAGTGAAGGCCCGAAGGCCCTAGGGAAGGCAACCCTAGAACCTGAGGGTAGTACTTACAGGATGCTTAGGGGAAGGCAGTCCTAAGTTCATGCAGTCCCAGTACACTATGTTACTCCTGGCCACAGCACCACAAACAGCAGGAAAAACAACACAAGGGCACAAAACCTGGCAGGAAACACAGGCCAGAGTTGACAACTGCCCCAGAGTGCTTCAGTCTACAAACTGAGGTGTGAGTAGCCGGTGCGAGGGTCCGGGCTCCCCTCTCTCCCTCCCAGGGAGGGGAGGGGAGGGTTTTGCAGACAAGCAGCACGGCGGCAGTGAATGCTTGTTTGCTCGTTTCCTTTTGGGGAGTTTTGTTTCTCTGTTCAGTCTTGAGTTTTTTGCAATTTGCTACCATGTGGGGTTTGTTTTGAGATGCCTACCTTTCTGGGTGCCTAACCCCAGTCGATGGCAGATGCAATACCCCCAAATACAAGGGGGTTTTCCTAGGGCCATTGCTCCCTGCACTTCTCTGAGGGGGCTATGTTCTGGCTAGTGGTCCCCAGTAAGAAGAACTCCATTGACTGAGGCCCCAGACTAATATAGCATATATCAGTCCGATAGCTCCAGGGAGCCGAAGGAGCTCCCCACAGAAAAGTATGTGCACGAGTGGTAAACATGTTATGCATGTACTTTCTGTACACCACTAATTTTACTTTTGGTGATCTCAGCTTTCTACTAACCTGGACACACAAGATGTATAAGATGATTATTTCCCCTGGCTAACCAATCCTCAACAAGATCACCAATAGCTGAAGAACTTTCCTCTCTTGTTGGGAAGTGTAAGATGTCACGATGGCAGAAGGTTGTATCAATATGTAAAGAATCTACAGTTTTAACAGTTCCATCAGCGTTATGAAGAGCCAGGATCTGTTCAACATCGCCAACGCTAGTGCGAAAGTCCCCCGTGTATAGAACAGTCCCTCCTCTGCCTTCAAAAAGGAACCTGAAAAAATTATAATTACACAGCTATTCCTTGTATAGTTGCTTTATCACGAAACTGATTTCAGAGAAAAATATAAGTTTTTAGTTTGCTGCTGCAGCACTGAGCAGCCATCATTTCAATTGCACTCAATACTTTCTAAGACAATCTCCCAAAACCATTACATTTAATACTGACTTTGCCTCTACATATATTGTGTGTGTGTGTTGGGGGGGGGGGGGGGGAAGGGGGGGGTGCAATATATCAGATGCGGTAAATGTCCATCATATGATAGGTTAAAATTAAATTTTAACTTTATAAAATTCACCCCATAGAGCATGAAGAAAAATTAGTGCATGAATGGTAACTCCTTTAACAGGGCTGATTGTGCATTTAATTATTTTAGTTGATGAGCAGAACACTAGAAATGCCTGGCACCTTCGGAAAGACATTGGGATTTTTTGTTAATCAAAAGTTTCATTTCCATTTTGAATTTTACATGAAAAATATTTCATATTTGGTGATGAAAAAATAAACAAAAATTGGATACCTGTATCAGATTTACACACAAATCTAGATATTTTCTAGATTTTGGAGGGCCTCTGTATTAACTTGTTTGAAAAACCTAATGAATGAATGGAATGATATATTTTTCTATAAAATAACACAGTAATCTTATCTGAATATGCATATCCTACCATGATATAGTACTCACAATATTTAGGCAGCCAACTATATGGTAACGGGGAAGTATTCGGCAACCCCAGTTCCGGGTGAACATGGTTACATCAACCATTTCTAGAAGAATTTCACCAGTAAAATGCACTATATTATGGGCACTATACATAATACAGTGCACTATATTATGGGCACTATACATAATACAGTGCACTGTATTATAGGCACTATACATAATACAGTGCACCGTATTATGTTCTCTACTATATCCACCATCCTTTCTTTACTATTGCACAACATTCCTATAATAACAAACTTAGTATTCATCGATCCTTAATACAAATGGCAAAACAATGGTGTGGTTTATATTCAGGGAACCCAAAGTGTTAAGATGTGATATTAATGTGCAGTGTAAACTGTGCAGCATGTTTTGTCAACATATTTTGAGGAGTTTTCAATTGATTTTGAAACATTCACGTTTCGTAGCCAATAACCTGTTCCTACGTTCCCATTACCTCGTCAGCTGTGTCATTTATTTACCATAATGTAGGTGTTTACATTTGAGTCAATCTACAAATTTTGAAATCATAGTGTCTGATAACAAAAATCCAGCGTTGAATGTAATGAAATGCCATTTTCTGGGTGAACCTCAAGAGGCTCCTGGTTGATATCTGGTTGATGGGGTTCCTGGGAGTTCTTCTACTCCCCAAGCCCGGCCTGAGGCCAAGCTTGACTTGTGAGAGCTTGGTCCACTAAGCTGTTGATTGGAGCGGCCCGCAGGCTCACGTACCCATCACAGCCCGGTTAGTCTGGCACTCCTTGGAGGAAACAACCAATGGTGGTTGATTGAAGGAGCAATGGCCCTGGAAAACCCCCCCGTGGTTGGGGGTTTTCCTTATCTGCCATCAACTGGGGTTAGGTAACCAGAAAGGTAGGCATAACAAAACAAACCCCACTTGGTAAGACACTAACAAAAACCGAACAGAGAGGTAGAACTCCCTACAATCCCAAGGAAACAAGCAAACAAGCAAACGTGACACACTACTCAAGTGCCACTTGTCCGCGCAGCCCTCCCCTCCCCTCCCCTCCCCGAGAAGGGAAAAGGGGGCCGCGGACCTCACCGCACCGGCTGCATAGCACTCCAGTTCAGCAGCTAAGCTTCAACAACCTCAAAAAAAAGTTGACCGATGGGAGGGAGGGTTGCCAGGGAGCCTTCGGGGCTCACCCAGAAAATGGTATTTCATTACATTCAACACTGGTTTTCTGAGGGGAGCCCCTACGGCTTCCTGGAGCTACATACCCAAAGACAAGAAAAGAAAGGGCTGACTCGGGAGGCGGCCGCCACAAACTCCGTAACGCCAAGTCAAGACAACAGGCTGCAACCTGTGACCCAAAGCAACACAAGAACGCCCAGGAGCAGGCATACTCACAAAATAAAGGGTGGCCAGGAACCTGTGCGACCTCCAAATTCCCATGCCCGAAATGAGCCCAAGACATGTTACCAAACACAGCAGCGAAAGCTGCAAATGTCTGAACGGCATGGGCGTGAGGATAGACCGCAGGCAACACTGAATAACCCTGCGGACAACCTGGGAGACCCTAGCTATGGAACAGGGAACGAGGGAAACTGGATCAACCAAAAGCGCATCCCCAGCCACAGCACACTGGTAACGGCGAAGAGCTGCAACCGAACACAACACCTGATGCACCCCCGGCTGATCCAACCAAGCATAAAAAATCCAAGGACCCCTCCGGAAAGCAGCTGTCACATCCATCGCCGGAAAAGATGGAGAAGGCTGCAAACGTACAAACCTACCACCAGGACCAAAAAAGCAGAAACCCGTGCGCCAGAGGAGAGCAGGAAGCTTCCCAACCCGACCCCCAGAGGTCAATGCCAACAAAATCAGGGCCTTGGAAAAACCATCTTGAACAGGGAGGCCCTCACAAACCGAGGAGAGGAAAGATAAGAGAGCATCCTGACCAAGGACCAGGATGGCTCAGGCGGCGCATGAGCAGGCCGGAGGTGAAACAAAGCACGAGAAAGCGTACGGAACGGAGCAGATGTGATGTCCACTCCGAACGCAAGCTGGAGCGGCTCAGCCAGCGCCGCACGATACCACGCGACAGTAAGAAGCATCAAATAACGGTCCTGAAAAACCAAGAAAAGACAAGACAACCCGATGTGTCAGAGAAGACAACCTATGAAAAGCAAGAAAATGGCAAAAAGAAATGCCAGGAAACTTCATACTGTCGCCGAGACGAAGCTCGCAGGTGGAACACCATCAACGAAGCCATCTGATCACCCTAGAGATGGTGCTACACCCGCGTCAAAAAACCAGATGCGAAGAGCCAAGGAGAAGGCCGAACTAGCCACATACTGGACCAGTCCGACCTGCCAAAAAAGCGAAGCCTCAGGAAACGCCCCGGGTTCAGACGCTGATCAAGCAACATCTGAAAACAAAGCTGGGCCGGCCACCAAGGGGACGACCCTGGAGAGGAACCCTGGAGAGGAACGTGCCAAGAAGTGACCCAGAAGTCCAGGGACACCATCCAGGCACCCGGCCCTAACAGAAGCCGGACCGGAGACAACGGTTATCTACAGAAGGCAAAGAAACCAGGGCGCAAACTGATCAAGTCCAGAAGAACCGCAGATCTGCGTTTCTAAGTCCCATGTCGGCATTGGAACAGGCAGGAACCCCAGAAGGATGGGGTGGATCAACCATGTCAAAACGCACACACACCGTGCTGTCAAGATGACATGACGAAGCGCAGGGGAAGAACAAGCAAACAGCCAGCCCCGAACATCCCAAAGGGGGAGGAGCCACCGAAACTATATGAACATGTTTGCTGATGATGCTAAGATAATAGGGAAGATAAGAAACTTAGATGATTGTCATGCCTTTCAAGAAGACCTGGACAAAATTAGTATATGGAGCACCACTTGGCAAATGGAATTTAATGTGAATAAATGCCATGTTATGGAATGTGGAAAAGGAGAACATAGACCCCACATAACCTATAAATTATGTGAGAAATCTTTAAATACTTCTGATAAAGAAAAAGAACTAGGGGTGGTTCTAGATAGAAAACCATCACCTGAGGACCACAAAGAATGTTGTGCGAGGAGCCTATGCTACGCTTTCTAACTTCAGAATTGCTTTTAAATACATGGATCGAGAAATACTAAAGAAATTGTTCACGACTTTTGTTAGACCAAAGCTGGAATATGCAGCACCATATCTGGAATATGGTGCCCATATCTTAAGAAGCACATCAATAAACTGGAAAAGGTGCAAAGACATGCTACTAAGTGGCTCCCAGAGCTGAAGGGCAAGAGCTACGAGGAGAGGTTAGAGGCATTAAATATGCCAAAACTAGAAGACGAGAAAATGAGGTGATATGATCACTACGTACAAATAGTAACAGGAATTGATAAAATTGATAGGGAAGATTTCCTGAGACCTGGAACTTCAAGAACAAGAGGTCATAGATTTAAACTAACTAAACAAACATGCCGAAGAAACATAATAAAATTCACTTTCGCAAATATTGTAGAGTGGTAGATGGTTGGAGCAAGTAAGGTGAGGTGATGGTGGAGGCCAAAACCGTCAGTAGTTTCAAAGCGTTATATGACAAAGGTGCTGGGTAGATGGGACACCACGAGCGTAGCTCTCATCCTGTAACTACACTTAGGTAATTACACAAGGTAACAAAGCCCCCTGAACCGACAAACGGGGCCCAAGAGGAAGAAACTTCCGGAACGAAACCAAAAAACCCAAAAGAACCCGGAATCAAACCCGGGAGAACCCAAACTACCACATTTGCCGGCAGAAATACACCACATAAAGGGCAAAGCACAGCACCCAGACAGAACCCCCAGGGAAGCTGCCAAAACAGACCAAAAGCCGAGGGACAAGTGTGGGAGCAAGCATAAACAGACAGGGACACTGAGCCCAAACAGACAGAAAATGCAAAAACCTGTGTACAAACCAACACCCAAGCATTCCCAAAGGAACAGAAGACAGGCTGAACACCTCAGAAAAGCAAAGAAATGGCAACAGGATAAAACCCCTAAAGGTGGTGACAAACTCGCCCAAAACACGAGCTCGCACACCTAGACACAGGTAAACAAACCGCAGTGCCGCCGGTGGCCAAGCGGGGCAACACACAGAAAGAAAATGACCACCAGAACAAGGAGCCGTGACCGACACAATAGATCCAAAAACACGCCAGCAAAATGAGGGAAGTAAGCAGATGAGAGGGACGAAAAAAAAACGCCCAGAAGCAGAAAACTCAGGCAGGGGCAAACAGCCCCAGAACTGCTAGCGGGCATCCCCCACAGCTTT